TGTTTTCGTTTAGTTAAGCTATGTTATCCTACAGTGAAACATTTGGTCCATATTACATATCTGATTATATTCAGAATATTTAACGTAACAAGATACCACCACAGCAGTTGCTAAGCCTAATGCGTCACTGTGCTATTGGCGTAAGGAAGTGAACTCTTGTAAAACATATGAATCACTTATCTCTGACAAAAATTAGGTATTTTTTAGCAATTTATTTATAACATATGTGATTGTATAGTTAATGGCTGCATTCACGCTGTTAAAATATCATCCATACATGATATGACAGTTCAAACATAAACATTGCGTAGATCGTATTTTACAAGCTTTCATTTTTACTATTGAAAAAACAACTGATACAAATAATTGTTAAAGTAACAATATATCGTACTAATGCCTTAATACGTAACATATACTTGTCGAAACCACTCTTTGTTTTACTGTTAAAATATATTAAAATCAACATTAGGGGTATGAAAAATAACCAAGCTTACAGTTATTTAACTAATATTTATTTGTAAGATCTATATTCACTTCAAGAACATTTGTATCTGTTCGAAGCGTTATCAGCAGAGACTAAGAAAGTAGGTTTGAACTGAAAGATTTAACGTCATTACAAAAGTCAGTCGCCTTTGCTTTAATAGAGTTTCATGGGACTACTGGGTATAAAGAAACCAAAACTAAATCAAAGCAGATCTGTACATTACCGAAACTATGCTGTGTAATTAAGTTTTATATCATGTTCATTGGACGAGGCATACGACTCAGAGTTAGTATTTACAAATGAAATTCGTTTGCGTTGAGGTCATTCCAGAATTCCATCGTAACCAGAATCGTTGCTACACAACTAGCGATTGTTAAAACGATAAAATAAGTTGAGTGGAAGAGTTGCTAATAAACAACTAACTTGATTTTTTCAAGAACCAAAATAACCGATGTTTCTTTGAAGCTAAATAATCATATTCTTGGCCCTGTGGAACATTATGACAAAAGAATTAGGTAACCCGTATAATTGAAAAACGAAATGCTATAAAAATAGATTTCCAGCAAGATTTGTATTTATTGGAATGGTTAAAAAAACATTCAGTAAGTTTTGAAAATACAGTAACCTTTTAAACAAGGCATTTTATTTTTCTACTTCATATAGATTCGAAAGAATAGAGAGAAAACGTTATTAAACTTCCAAAATAAGAACCTGCTTTAAAAGACAAACTGCCGTGCTACAGGAACAAGTATTATAGATATTACACGCCGTTCTGAAGGACGCCTAACTTTTTTATCGGTTAAATGATTTTCTTCAACTGGCGAAGGATTAAAGAACATAATCGATTGAAGGGCGGCCAGTGGTTTCAAGATTAGCCAGCCTGTAAGGCCTCTTCACCCGTGGCAAGTTTATAAAAGCCAAATAGATGTCTGAGATTGGACAGAAATACATCAAATAAGTACTTCTACGAACAGCTGCACTTTTTTTCCTTTCACAAGAGTTAGTAGATTGTTACTTTGGTCAGTCAATATTATAGTTAAATACCTATCTTGATATAATTCAAACAGATAATGTAGTCAGTAATTGTAGCTTAGACGCGTGAGAACATCACGAGGGTTTCTCATTCACAGGTAAGATCAGCAAGCGACACTTTTCCTTATTCATTTAAATACTGAAAATATTGTTATTATACAAAATTATGATGAATAATTAGTAGTAAAGTAACTCATCTTGGTTGTAATTAATGTCCTGAAATACAAATTTCAAAGACATTTATCAAATCAGTGGAAAGATTATTGTGATAATTTCTAGGGGAAACTTGAAATGGCACAAAGATACTAATGGCACAAAGATACTAATGACACAAAGATACTAATGGCACAAAGATACTAATAGCACTAAGAGCTCTCTCTCTGCACGCGTTGCTGGAAATAAGTTTAATCACTTGTAAGGAAATGAAGTAAGTACAATCCTAGCCTGAAAACGTTTCAAATTACAAATAAAATACAAACTTTTATGGTTAATTCTTTGTTTTGTAGTCAAAATAACATAAACGAAATAACCTGATAACGAAATAATCTTGTCGAAACGTTGTACATTTATAATAAAATTTTCTTCATTACCCATTAAAGCCGTCCTCAAACATTTATTTTCTAAAAAGTGGGTTCCTCGTCATCAGATCTTATTAATATACATTATAAATGAAGCGACGTATAAAAGACCAGGCAATATATGGATATCCACGCATGGATTCCAGGAGAGTTGGTGCACTAATAACCATTATATGGCATCAATTGACGAAGGATACAGATAATTAAAATACAACGCAATTGCCTGGGGGGAAATCTATATTTGTAGATCATATGTTGCCCTGTAACGTTACCTTCAAACAAAGCAAAATTCATGAAAAATACTTAAAATTAATTATCCAATTTTTCCGCTTTACATAATAAATCAGATTGGGCACGTGCGCATATGCAACTTATTGTATAAAAGACATTAACAACACTTCAATACAAAAAGTATTTTAGCATTGGTACTTCTAAATTCCAGTTAATTCCAAACGTACTGAAGCTTGATTCTAGACTTTAGAATGTATCATGGTTCAAAAAAGTATATGTTACGTGTGTGTGTGTATAAAGATAAGCATTTTTAGGTTTTGCACAAACTCTTGTCTGCAGAGTTTTATTTATTTTTTTATCAACTGAATTTCTCTAAAAAAGTACTGACATATTTGATATAACAATTACATTATCATCCGATGTATTGGAACTTTTGCGGAAATATAATACATTCATTTATTTCTGCGTGTTTTGTTAAACTCTATCTATCAAGTATTCCCATTGGCCTGAACTTGGCAATTAACTGAATTAAAAACAACAACAAAGAAATCACTTGCTAATATTGCATACAGTTTAATTCTAAATGACTCTGTGTGATGGTTCAAGTAGTACTTAAAATGTTGTATTTACCGTCGCTCTGATTACTGCAAGTATTTTTTGTTTCTTCCAATGACGTGTGGAATAATACTATATATATACACACAGACGTTTTCTCTGTCAAACAATAACTTGCTAACTTACCTTTACACAGGAGTACCCATAGCCCAGTGGCATCGTAAATTATTTGATTTCAAAAATACGTATATTGTTTAAATGTCATCTATAACACTATAAACATCTTGATATTTTTGCCTGGCTTACTTGGGTATTTGACTAAATTAAATATAAGGATTAATACTTTTGGAAGGAACGGAACTAATAAGTATTTTTTATTGGTGCATTTTACTTTGACCTTACAATAGATCTTCTCCTTTCTTTCCTTCCGAAATTTTGTTTATGTTTCAGGTCAACATCTTCTCCGATCATCTTACCTATGGCGTTAAGCTCTCTACAGCTAGTTAGCCATAAGCAGCTTTGCTATAAACAGTCTGGCACCGTCCTTAATTTTGAGCTGCTGACCATAAATGAAGGCAACCGTACGGTAGCACAGATCGCCAACTCTCGGGATACTCTTTACCTTGAAATATAGGATTGAGAGTCACGTTTTAACTTTCCCACAACTGTAATGGCGAATATCATCGTCGTCGGGTTTCGATCCCACGACTCAAATACTGCAAGTTGAGCACCCTCTAACCACCTATCTACTACTCACGTTCAAAAGGTATAACAATGTGATTGTAAACTTAACTGATCTTTGAATTGGTCAGACACCTGTCAAATTTTGTTATAATACGATATGATATACATTATTGTTGCAGAAACAAATAATGCTCATACAATGTTAAAAATGTCCAGCGAAACGTAATTCAGTGAGTTTAAAATTAATAAGTCAAGACTGGATAAGCCCCATGTGTTTAATGCGAGTTCTAACCCTTACATGACCACTTGTTTTAAATGGGGTCCACATATTTCATCATATTGGGTAATTATGTTTTTGCTTGTTGCAGCATTAACTGTTAAAAACTTACTAAAACATGTGGTGAACTCACTCATTTTCTACTTAATTAGTGGGATTAATTGCAGTACTAGTGGTATGTTTCTATGTAATTAGTGGGATTAATTGTAGTATTAGTGCTATGTTTCTATGTAATTAGTGGGATTAATTGCAGTTCTAGTGATATGTTTCTATGTAATTAGTGGGATTAATTGTAGTATTAGTGGTATGTTTCTATGTAATTAGTGGGATTAATTGTAGTATTAGTGGTATGTTTCTATGTAATTAGTGGGATTAATTGCAGTACTAGTGGTATGTTTTCATGTAATTAGTGGGATTAATTGCAGTACTAGTGGTATATGTCTAAGAATTAGTGGGATTAATTTTAGTATTAGTGATATGTTTTCTTAATTTTATTTCGTCTCATATGTTGTTGGAGGAGCTGTAATCAACAGTCATTGATTCACAAGTAATGTGATGTATAATTAGTTTAGTAAAATGTGTTTACAAAAACGATAGAGTCTGTATCAGTCAGCAAATATAGGGGTAAAGCAGATATAAAGTTAATAAATAGGATGGGGCAATCTTGAAAAAAAATTAGTCTTCTAGAAAAATGTCTGTTTTAAGTGCCAGGTGGAAGATCAGATTAAAGAAACTGAACAATTTAATCCTAATAAATTGGGTCTACATATGCAAAATTATACCGACATTTACATTCATTTATCTATAAATAAAGGTTGTTCTAACCTAGTCTGCGAGTCAGATAAAAATGTTTGGTGGGTTGACTCCCGAAATACAAACTTCTTATTTACATTCTTTATTTCTAAATTATGAATAGAGATTTGAAGTTCTTGAGATATTTGGAATCTGAAAAGACACAAGTTTTTCCGTATTCGCCCTAATTTCCAGCAATGATGGAGTAAAACCCGTATCCCCATGCAAAAGTCCCCACAAAACATGGAAGTGGTCGCATATGTTGCGCAACCCAAGATTTGGTTCCTTAGCTCTATAAATCAGTTTTCTCCGAGTACAAGTTCTGTCGATATAAATCTCCAAAGAAGGCTCAATAAAATTTACTTACCACCTTAAGGTAGCTAAGTGCGGTTCCTGCCTGAATATGAACACTTCTACTATTTTGTTCAAGTGGAACACAGTTCGGCCAATTTCCTAAACTCTGCATCTTTATGACCGAACATCATTGAAAAATGAGTTGGTTTGGAAGTAAAATGTTTTTTTTGTTTAAGGTAACAAATAGAGCCCTTTCTTTGTGCTAACTTGTATACTGGAAACCGTGACACAACTCTATAGCCCACCCAATCTCCCGAATTCAGTCTCATCAACTTGCAGACCTGGTGTAAATGAAAGAGAGGAGTAAGTACAATTAAAAAACAAAAAAAGGTAAAAAGTTATGTTCAGTTGGGAATACATTTAAAGGTTATGGTAAAAGTGTTTAAATTTAAATAACTAGAAATACGTTATTTGGGCTAGGAAAGGTTGCCGTGCACATATCGAATAATATTATACTAGCGTACGTCTCCTCCTTCTGAAAATCATGGACCCACCAGTGTATAAGTTAAATGAAAACGATAATCTGATCATATAGATTAGAGAAAATTATTCATTCTGCTGTATAGGTCTGCCAATCTAATATAGACATATTTAAGTATAAGTTTGGACAAATGTTGTATTTACAATATATATATATATACGAAATGTGTGTTTGTTTGCACCCTAACTCCTCCAAGTCTATCTGACCAATCTGAACCAAAAGTTGTATGTAAACACTATGACTTATGGGGAATGCCCTAAGGGGATCAAAACTGAACTTAGCCCTATTTCTATTTTGTAAAGCCTGTTAGTTAATTACTCCCAGTATATTGAGTCAATCTCAAACAATCTCGGTAGGTTCACGCTTTAGACAATGTTGAACATTCTAAATGGACTCAAGGTCAAAGTGTGAAAGTTGGTGGATTGTTTCTCGAACAATCATGCTTTTCTCGTGGTCAATGAGATCATGTGGGTTGTTCAATGGTGGGATCATCTCAAAATCTCTATTTGTTGGTTGATGGAAAGCAAACTGCAAATGTTGTTTATTAAGAAGCTTTGTTATAACTTTAAAATTTTGAGATAAAGTTTATGTTCAAGTTATTACTTTGAAATATATAATTGCTGTCAACCTTACATTGTTTTAATTAAGTTTAAACATCCCCCGTCAGTTGATGGGTATTTCAGCATGTTTAATATAAAGTGTATTCTAAAGATTGCATTGAGAAATATTTAGAAACTGTGGTTCATGTATAATGGCTGGAGACGGCTTAAATGGGTAATGAAGAAAAAGTTTAATATAAGTTTAACATGACAGCAAATGTACAACGTTTCGACAACGTTTTGATGATGACAAAACCTTGTCGAAACGTTGTACATT